TTAATATCTTGAGAGATTTACATGGTTTAGAATTTTGATGATAATTATGATAATAATTATAGTAGTAATAATAATAGAATTATCGATGCATGTAATCTTCATGATACTACACAGCTTTATTTAGTGCTGGTTATAGTGATACTAAAATTAGTATTATTTAGCTTGCAATGAACTCCTAAGCATCATATTAATTTATGCCTTGTTTTATAGATATTGCTTTGCCTTTTTTATTATAGGTGGGATTTTAAACTATAGAATAGTGTCATCATTGCCATAATTAAAACACAATACTATTATAAAATAGGTAGTCAATTGCCAGAACACTTATGCTTATGCAGATGTCTTGAAGCAGTGGCAAATCTTTTGTTAGCACAATTGTACTATGGGACATAACACTGCTTGGAAGGCCAAGTTAGATGAAATACACCAATTTTATGTCCACTTGTAATAAAGTTTTATTTTTGCTTAAACATTACCTGGTAGCTATACAAGGTAGTTAGTGGTGAAATTGGTGAATTTTGATTCAGAAAACCGGAGTTTTAGCCTCAAAAATACCCAGCCATGTTCTACCTGAGTGGGCGTTAAGGGCTTGGTGAAGACTTTTGTCTTTTAATTTTTTTAGCCTCTTTCAATTTTCTTTTGGCTTACCAGTCTTTCATGCCTTTCTTTGGAGCTCATAAGCCAAAAGAAAATTAATAGAAGCTAAAGAAAATTAAAAGACCAAAAGCCCTCACCAAACCCTCAACGCCCACTCAGGCTGGGTATCTTTCAGGCTAAAACTTTGGTTTTCTACATCATAATTCACAAATATCACCATAAACCACCTTGTATAGCTAACAGGTAATCTTTAAGCAAAAACGAATCTTAATTGCAAGTGGACATATTAATTGGTGTGCTTCACTTAACTTTGGCTTTCCAAGGAGTGAATTTTAAATTGATTTTACTAGCCTTGAATTCCTAAAGTGAAGACAAGATGACCAATTATTTAAGTCCCCACTTGCAATGAAGTTTAATTTTTGCTTAAACATTACCTGTTAGCTATAGAAGGTGCTTTATGGTGAGGTTGGTAAATTATGATTTAGAAAACCTGAGTTCTAGGCTGTATAATACCCAGTCTCGCCCTCCTGAGTGGTATTAAAGGTGCAGAAATAATGCTGTTGGCTCTGAATCTCTTTCACTTTAAGCTTTTTTTGATGCATATTTTACACAGTATAACTTGCACCTATACCAAACATTTAAGTAGTTGGAGCAGCAATAGTATTGTTTTTCACCAGTTAAAAGTAAAAAATATAATGTCAGTTTTATGTCAAAAGGTTATCCTTATGATAGATCTAGTATAACGTAATTAGACATATATAATGTATTAAGAACATGATGGTATTATGTAATGAGACGCACATTCAAGAGACAAAATTGCTTTTACTTTTCTATATCTCATGCACCTCAGCTATATTTATATATGCATGAACTTTTGTTTGCATCATGCATTATAATAATTATGATATAAGATCTGTCTGAATCACATTAATCACCAGATCTCTGCATGACAAAATTTTATAAACCCAATGTGGTTTAACCAATTTCATTGTATTAATTTGAGAATCATAGTTCTTATAATAATAATATGTGCTTCAAGTAGTCATAGACCTCAATATAATGATCAAAGCCACTATATTCTGAATTGGCTAATGGATTAAAATGTGTTGAAAGTGTCTGTTCTTGAGTTCTACTAATGTCGACAGATATTCTTGGAATTTCTACTCTTCCCATGTCAAAAGGGTTTGGTCGACCATCCTCAGCACCAAAATGAGCATCAACATTGAGATTGAAGTTGGAGTCTTGTAATCCTTGAAGCCAAATTTGGTTGGGAGTAAAACCGTGCTCTGAGCGTAGATGATGGTTATTCCAACTACATTGAAATTCCTTTAGTTGCTTGTTTAATCTTGGAAGAAAAATATAGTGCAGTGCAAAAAGCTGCAATTCATCATTTGGGGAAAGTACTCCAATGTCTTCCATTTCATAAAAGAGAGAATAAAAACTATGGCACACACATCTAAATGTATCATTCCATAATCGCTCAATTCGCTGATTATGAACACTAGAACCTGCAATATGACTCCCTCTACCAGTGCCCCTTACTGTTAGCATTGCCCTTGCAACATCAACATTTTCCCCTCCTTTGTCAGACCTAACCCTTGATGGCCAACCGTGATCATTTGTAGCTTCTAGAAATAAATTAAGAACTGTATTTGCTCGATTATTGTCAGATGCATGCAAG